CTCATCTTTCTCCCGCGGAGCGGCTGGTAGTTTCGAACCGCTGACCTTAAGGTTCGCAGCCCGATTTGTAACCACTACGCTACCAGAGCTCACTACTGGTTCTCTTTAGTAGGGAACTTTTCATTTTTCCCAAGCTGTTCTCAGGATTCTCTCCTTGTCTTTGGTTTTGGAAAGTTTTATTATTGCATGTCTTGGTGATTTTCTTTTGGGATCTGTCTTATTTGGGGTTGGCTAAGTTCTTGTATGTGTATTTTCTTGTCTTTCATGATGTTAAGGACATTTTCTTCCAACAGCTCTTCAACAATTTTCTGTGTGTTTTCTTTTTGTCTTCCTGTTCTGGAATTCTAGTCACCCGTAAGTTATTCCTCTTCATGGTGTCCCACATAACTATTAAAAGTTTTCTTTGGATTTTTTTTCATTCTTTTTTCTGATTGTTCTCCTAGCTTACTAGTATTGTGAGATTTAGCATCAAGGTCTCTGATGTGGGTTTCCATTGCTTTGAATCGACTCCTTTTCATTTCAGTGTGCTATCCATTTCTGAGATCTTAGTATTTAATCTTCTGGATCTCTATTTGTAGCTTGTGTGTTGTTTTAAAACTGCATTTACTTGTATTATTTGTTTTTGTAGTGTTTTCCTGAATTCTTCTAAAGTTTTTTTCTGTGTTCTCTTTGCTTTTCTCAGTCTTCCTGTCAATCCTTTGAAGGCACCTAAATATTATTTTATAGCATTCTTTTTTAATTAATCCCATTGCCTTTTCTCTCTCAGAGATGTTTTCTGGCTTTGCATCTTGCTTATTTGTTTGAGCCATTGTCTCTTGTTTCTTTGTGTGAACTAAAATTGGCTAATTGTCTCTAAGGCACTGTGGAGTTGTTGTATTTGTATTTAATTGATGATTGTATGTTGATATATCCTTAGGTGCTCACCAACTGTCTTCTGTGGGTGTAGATAGAGAATAGAAGTGTCTGCGCTGTTAACCTGTTAGCCATTTGTGCACCTCAGTTTAAGGTGGGGTTGGCTGGTGTTGTCTGCTGACTGTTGTTGATCTGGTGGTATAGGAGCTGCTGTTGACTCTTGCCATCTTGTCATGTCAGGTGAGAAAGAAGAGAAAGCGTTTCTCTCCCTACATACAAGAAAACAAACAATATACAAACAAAAAGCCAGTGATGAAAAGAGAAGATAATAAAGGAGAAAAAAAGGAATAAAAACAGGCAGCAACCAGAAATAAAGAACATAATAACTGAAAAGAGTATAGAGGAACAGGAAAATGGAGCTATAGAAGAGGAAAATTAAAAAAAGAGATTTAAAAAACAAAACAAAACAAAAAACACTTAGAAAAACCAGGGAGAGGGAAGAAGAAAAGAGAGTAGAGAATAGTAAAGAAAGAAAACAAAAGCAGAAGCCGGGAAATGAGAAACAGAAGAAGAAAGGAAAAGCAAAACCAGAGATGTTGTTGTTAAGTGCCACTGAGTCGGTTCCGACCCATAGCGGCCCTCTAGAGGGTTTTCATGAAGCGACTGGTGAGCTTGAACCACCAACCTTGCAGTTCACACCTACTGTGCAGTCTAGCTCATTAACCCACAGTGCCACGCCAGGACTCCAAACAGAAAGGGTAAAATTCACCGGCATTGAAAGAGAAGAAAGAATAAACAAACAAAAACAATGAAAGGAAAAATCCAGAGCCAAGCAAACAAAAAAACAGTGCAGCTATTGAACCCGGAAAGGAGAAAACTCTAGGGGGCTCCTGCCAACCAAGGTGCTCACAAGGTGGGTGTGAGATGGACAACCGAGTTCCTGGCTCTAGGTGAAGTTCCTGTTGGCTGAGGTGGTGTTATCTATATTCAGGCCACACCTCTGGTCATCAGGGGAGCTTGGGGAAAAGAAGGAATCTCACTGTGCCAGGTCACCTTCAGTCACAAAGCTGCTCACAAAAGTTAAAGATGACTGGGCCACTTCTGACGGGTCATTCACCAGTCAGTCTCCCTCTCTTGCTGTCCCTGCTCAGCTTCTCCTCTCAGCAAACATTCCATCCACTTCTCTAACCGTGCCTCTGAAGTTCAGGGTGCCAGGGTTTTCGTGTGTCGGTTTCATTTGGTCTCTTTGTTGTAGAGGGTCCGTGTAGTACATCTGCCTAGTCTGCCATCTTGCTGGAAGTCCGAGGCTGTATTTCTTCATTCATTGATGCTGAGTGTCTCCTCTCTTTTAGTTCATCTTTGAGGTCTTACCTACCTTCTTTCAAATACTTGTTCCATCTAAAAACTGTTTCATAAACTTGTTGCAAAGCTTCAGTGATTTGGGAAGATATCTACTTGAATTTTGTTATAAGTTTTTTATCAGCCCTGACTTCATAACTGTTTTTTCCATGACACAAAAACTATCTTTTTTAACTTTTGAAGGTATCCTAACAAGACTTAATACAAGCGTATTACTGAGAGAATTTGTCTGCAGCCCTCCTTTGATCATGGAGATATTTTTAAACTTATTTTGTTTGAAGTAAACCTATGCTTGTATGAACTGGTACCCTAGCAGCAATAATTTTTTACTTACCATCGTGTGCCCCAGTTTGGTTAAAAAAAGAAACAACCACCCAACACACTCAAAATAATGCTGTATATTTTTATGAATTCCTCTATTGATATGTAGATGCATACAAGAAGTTTCTGGAAGGGGCACACCAAGCTAATGGCAGTGATTCCTTTTAGGGAGAAGAGTGGGACAAGGGACAAGTTCACAGGGGTTTTTAAAGAAATATTTTGACAACAGATAATAAGTAGATCTAGTAGATACTGCTGAGTTGTCAGCAGAATTAAGTGTGGCCCATTCTGAGCCGTGTTCACGTTTGCTGGCGCTTTCACCGTAATTGCTCCTGTAGTTTTACCTTCTCATCCAGGGTTTCCCTTGCCCTCGTTGGCCCTGGACTTTACCAAACATGGTATCCGCTTGTAGCAGTTAGCATTTCTTGATGACTTGTCCTGAGCACTGAGTTGAACAATAATCTGTGCTTTGTAAGGTTTTTACTGGCTGACTTTTTTTTGGGGGGGGGGCAATGCATGTTCCTTTTTTTTTTTTAATGTTTTATTGTGAACTATGTGATAGTTTACATGGGAGAACATTAGCTTTACATTCATCCTATCGTATATTGTTTCATTGCCATGATTACAATCCCCTCTATGCATCATCATTCTACCAGAGGGTGTACCCCGGTCATCAGCACACAGCCCCTCTCCCTCTCTGGGTCTAGAGTCCCCAGCTGTTCCATCTCTCCATGTCATCGTCTCTGCCTCCATCTCTGGCGTCACTGCTTCTCTGGGTAGGGTCCCGCTCTCGGCTCTTCTCCCTTGATGGTCCTAGGGACCTCTGCTCCTAGACTGCAAAGTTAATCACTCCCTTCCTAGCTACAAAATGTCTACCTTTACATTTCCAACCCTCACAATCAGTCCTGATAACA